AGACTCCGAGGTTCCCGAGATATTAACTTACCCGTGAAAAACTTTCACGGGGCCGTACTTGTTACCTGCTGGTAAGCGAAGGCTGAATTTGAATGGGCAAGGTTGACGGTATTTCACGAGGCTGTACGTGCTACCCGTGAGTAAGGGAAGGTTGAACTTGAATGGGCAAGGTTGAGGGTGATTCATGGGGCCGTACGTGTTACCCGCGGGTAAGGGAAGGCTGAATTTGAATGGGCAAGGTTGAGGGTGGACGGTCATTGCCCTAAAACTTCAGCCTTCTAGACTTCGAGGTTCCCGAGATATTAACTTACCCGTGACATACACTTGTTACCCGCGGGTAAGGGAAAGCTGAATTTGAATGGGCAAGGTTGGTGGTGGACAGGGGGTTATAGCCTCCTAGACTCCGAGGTTCCCGAGATATTAACTTACCCGTGACTTACCCGTGAAAAACTTTCAGGGGGTCGTACGCGTTAACCGTGGGTACGGGGAAGCTGAATTTAAATTTGCGGAACCGTGAAAAACTTTCACGGGGCCGTACACGTTACCCGCGGGTACGGGGAAGCTGAATTTAAATTTGTGGGGTCACACGTTCACGGGGCCGTTTGTGTTACCTGTGGTACGGGGAAGCTGAATTTAAATTTGCGGGGTCACACGTACAGGGCCGTACGCGTTACCCGCGGGTACGGGGAAGCTGAATTTAAATTTGCGGGGTCACACGTGGTTAAAAAACTTTCACAGGGCCGTACGCGTTACCCGCGGGTACGGGGAAGATGAATTTAAATTTGCGGAGTCACACGTGGGTCGTGTTACCCGTGGGTACCGGGAAGCTGAATTTAAATTTGAAGGGTCACACGTGAGTGGGGAACGTCTTACCCGCGGGTACGGGGAAGCTGAATTTAAATTTGCGGGGTCACACATGGGTGGGGAACGTCCGGCCGTACACGTTACCCGTGGGTACGGGGAAGCTGAATTTAAATTTGTGGGGTCACACGTGGGTGGGAAACG